CTCCAGCCCCCCCGACCCCTTACTTATGGGCACTGGAGCCCTAGTGCAGCTGCTTCAGCACCAGGGCAAGTGGCCAACCATAGAGAGACTGTGGCAGCCAAAGCATCTCCTGCCCCACATTTTTTAACTTAATATTTTTTTTTAAGACCCCAGGGGTCTAATTTTATGTTTGCAGCACGGGGAGAGTTTTTTCATTTCCGCATAGGCCTCTAACTGCATCTCAAAGGGGTTTAAGACAGGGCAAGAGGCATGTGCACACTCATCTGGACATGCCCATACTGGTTAAATGTCATTTTTCCTAATAGTACTGCCACAGATGTGAAATAAAAGCATCAACAGGCAAATTGAGCAAAGAATCAGAATATTATTTTATCTATTATTGTACAATAGACTTTAAATATAGGTTTAAATTTATAGTCTGATTTAGTATAGATGTTTATATATTTTCACCACTTCGTAGCATCATCCTGTCAAACTTTTCATTAAATAAAGTATTGCTATTAAGAAGGATGGCCAGCCAACTCTAGAGGAACAAAGCAGAGATACAGTTTGTTTTGTATTTCAGTGGACAGCTCAGGTTATGCCAACCTATTCACTTGTGAGACACATGTGCTGATGTCACTGAACCTTTTCACTCATTCAAGAAAATGCATGCAGAGAATGGATCATTTGATTATTTCCTTTCCTTTATTATTATTTTTTTTTTGGCTGAGAAACAAATAATTAATTAAATCACTTAGGTCCTATCAAGTGAGTGAAAATAAAGATGGCATATTTTTCTGTGGAATTCATAACTTATGTGTGTTCACAAATGGTATCTCAGGGCAGTTCATTATTTTGAAATAATACCACCTAGGACATATTCTGGAGGTGTTCTGTCTCCTAACATTGTCCTGCAAATGCTTCCCTGCCTAGTTCTTACTACTACTTGCAGTTTTGCTTAATTACAGTAAGCGGTACTGTTTGGCAACAGATATTTGATGAAGTGGGTCTTATGCAGTTATCGTGCTAATTAGGTGCTTGATCCTGCAAGACGGTATGTGAATCCTAGATGCTGTGTACCCATAACTCTGAGAATGCTCATAGGATTAGGTCCAAATGGTGCAAATGGACTCATCTTATTGAGAAGTGAATATAACACCAGATTTTAAGTATCAGTTTTAAACTTCTAATGTCAGAAATCCTATTACCCTTTAAGGAAAACTATTAGAATTCTTTGAAGTTCTCACACCAGATAGTTGATCTCTGCACTTAGATACCACAGAACTCAATGGGAGTCTATGTGTATCCATGCTGGGTACAGTCATTCAAAAAGCCCAAGACAGAATTGATCTAAGTTACACTGCTTTCTGCATGTGGCACAGTAGTGAACAAAATACACATTTGCCCTTTGCGGAGGCTGGGAGGGGAGGAGAAATTTTAGATTGGTTTCCACCATGTCCAAACCAGTTTGTGTGTGCTGAACTTTTGGTCTGTTATGGGTATGTACTGGTTTCTGATCACTTATACTGGTGAAAGTGTAATGTCTATACCTGACTCCAGAGATGATAGCTGATCATCAACTTCTTAAGTATTTTGAGGTCTATACAAACTTCAAAATATTCCTTCACAGGCCGGTGCTGCTTGAACATCTCAGAGAAGCAAAAGCAGACAAAAGAAGGCTTCGCAAAGCCCTGAGAGAATTTGAGGAACAGTTCTTCAAACAAACAGGAAGGTAAACAATACTGCATTCATGTATTTCAGCTTATTTATATGTTTCCATTAAAGTATGTGCTCTTATGTAGGAGTGACTCACCTGAAAGATGTGAGTTAAGTAATTGTTATCTGTGTGATAACTCAAATGAATTCAGGAGTTTTTAAGCAATTGAGCAATGTAAATTTGCTACCGTCACACTTTGCTCTTAGAAATAATGTGATGTGAAAATGTAATTCTACAATATAGAACTAGCCTATCTTATTTTAAATATAATGTGATATTTACCAATAAAATGTGATATTTACCAATCCTTCCATGTACTCTTCCACAAACAGAACAGTATCATCAATAAGTAGTAGGGGGTCAGAAGGCTTGGGAATTTCTGCTCTGTAATTTCTGGGTCTAAGTAAGTTTTGTTGAAAGCAATTAGTGTCTTATTGAGATCAATGGGCTTTCATGTCTATAACACCTATCCATCAGGCCACATCTGGGGCAGGGTGAAATGAAGAGCTACTTGCTCCAAACATACATGCTCCAAAAAACGTGATAAAAAAATGAAGGGCCCCAAACCTGGAAGAGTCTCAAGGATCTGAACAAATTGTGGAGGCCCTGTGAAATGAAGGTAATTTCTACAGAGTTCAAATGCTTCCAGACTTCTCTACTATCCCATTCCAGCCTGCTTCAGCTAGTACTTTGGTAATCGTATCTTCCAAATTGTGGAACACCTTGTCTGCGTATCTTAAAGTGAATTAGCAATTACACCATTGATAAGAAATTATGTGTAGTAAGCTTATTATCACAATTCAATATTTTAATAGCCATTAGTATAATCCTGCTTCCCTATTGCTCTTGTCACATTATCTGTGGGTGTCTAAAATTAGAAACAAATAAAATGCATAAATCTCCACTGAAAAAAATTAAAATCTATTTTTTTTCATAATAAAATGTGATGGGTGTTATTTGCCTTTTATAGGAGTCCACAAAAGGAAGATCGCATACCAATGGCCGAAGAGTACTCTGAATACAAGCACACAAAAGCCAAAATCAGGTTCTTAGAGGTGCTCATTAATAAGCATGATGTCGTCAAAACAATCTGAAGATCGGAATTCTGTGTTATGCAGTGCTACTGTTTCTCTAGCAAAAAAAATAGTTTTACAAGTATAAGTTTCTGCACAGTTATTGGACACAATGAGATTGTGATGCACTTTAATAGTTATATTATCAGGTGTGGAGGACAGCAACATGTAAGAGTATGTAAACAGGAGTGAATGGCTTGCACTTTAAGGGGGGGGGGGGGAAGGTTTGAAGGGCACTGTAATAATAAAGTTAAAGGACACTGTGATGTAGTTTAGGCTCTCAATCAGACTTGCTCTATTTTACCATTTATAAAATGTCAGGGAATGCTCTCCAGATTCCTACACACAACAAACAAATCCACTTCTGTGTCACCAAAAAAAAAATATCATGCACTATTATTAAATACTTCTGTAGGACCTAAAAATGAATTTACTCCATCAGGGGAAACAACATGTTAACTTAAATCATTGTGACCAAATTCTGCCATGAGATATGTAGGTGTAGCTCCCATGTGCTTCAAATGTATCCATGGACTCTAGATTATTGGAGTGAAGCAAACTGGTGCAGGTGCAGAATTAAAGTAGTAAAATAACTGCTAAATGGAAGCGTGGTTTTTAGAAATGGGAAAAAAAATACCTGTGTTATTTGGGAAATCAAAAAAGAAACAGTGATCAGGGAAGGGATGCTTTTTTACTGGGCATGTAAAAGGGTACTATAAAAAACTGTGGACATGATATAAAGATCCTGGGTGTTGTCCTTTTAAAACCAGTTGGTTTATAGTATCTGAAATAAAATTCAGCAAAATAAATGATTCATACATGATGAGTTCTATTTCTGTATTAACTTTGCACTTTATTTTGCCTGATTTTGCTTTTCTAACTACCAAAGCTCTTTTGGAAGCATGCACTTTGTAAAATGTTGAAGTATTTCCTGTGCTATAATTGCCAAATATCTATATTATGACAATGATGAGAACAGTTTATTGCATTATGATAAGATATTTTGGTTAGATAATGTATGCAGTATATATTCAAGTGTCATGGTTATAAGATGAGGAATACTAATCATCTTCTTTACTAAAGATAAGATGATAAAGCTATTTTTCATTGGAATTCAGCATCTTTTTTAACTTTTAAAGCACCACACTTTATATTAAGGGGATTTTCTCATTATTTGCAATAGATCATTTGTGTGTAGAGTTGGCTGTTTAACAGAAGGATTGTTAGCAAGTTGTATTAGAAAGTCACTGTACTAGTTCTGGAAAGTATTAATCTAATTATGGAAAACTGAAAAATTAGGTTATGTTGCATCATAAATTTCATTTTTCATTTAAAAATTATGCTGTTTCATTTAAATTGCCATTTTGTATTAACACAGAGCACCTGCTTTCTATCTTAATAGGAAAAGGATCTTTTTTTACAGTCTAGTATATAACAATCATGTTTGTACTTTATTATATGTGGTGGTTCAGCATGATTTTAAAGAAGTATACATTTTAAAATAGTTTGGAGGTAAAGGACAAGTGTTGTTTTTATTTCTGTGATATTTGCTGTTTCAGTGTATTGACTTGATGATTTATAACTTAACTTTTATTAATCAGAATGATCTCCATCATAAATCTGTTTTAATTAGTCATTTAAGAACAACAGGAACAGATATACAACTATTTGAAGTTTACAAACGACATCTTTGATACGAGAAAATGGTTTCATGACATATGAATACAATTGCTATTAAAATGTAATCTATATATTCTATATGATTGTATACCATTTTATACATTAATATAAATAAAGTATTTTTCTATTATATTTATTATGTTGAAACATGGTTTTTGTTTCCAATTAGCTAGTATAAATAACACTGTCAAACAACAAGTTGGAAATGCTGACATTTCTAGCTTTTGAGATTTAAATCATGCTGCAATTACAACCTCTCATACTATTTGGAGTTATCCCAGTATTTGTTCAGTAGATTAAAATGAATGCCTATTTAAGCCATTTATAAGCCATTATTTTTATTTTGCTAAAGCAGTTTATATAGGATTTTGTTATGTTTGGCAAGAAACAAACAAAAACATTATTGCAGCATCTGGATATAAACAGTTGTCAGGAAGAAAACCAGGACTCCTAATAGTTTAAAGCATTTGGAGATGAAGGGGAAGGAGGGAAAGAAGAAATATTAAAAATGTTGTTAAAGAATTTGAAAACTTGTGTTTGCTTTTGGTGCCAGCAGCATGTACATGCTTCTGAAGAGAACATCTGACTATGGAAATGGACAACAGAGGTTCAAAGGCTCCTAAATAACAGGGAAGTAATTAACATCTGACACTGATGTTGCAGGTCTTGCAGCTGGGATCTTTCTTTGCATTTGCAGTAGACAAGCTCATTAGCTGATGGCCAGTAACTTCTGCAACTCTGCCAAGGAACAGATCCATGGAATCAGTGTAAATTACTTCCAAAATAACATTCTGGGCATGGTGGTAAGCCAGGATGCCATCTTCTTCAGAGCAGGTCAAAAATATATTATACTTTATATTTAGCTGAGGAAGGCACTGCTTACAGAATTCATCTCCTGGAGAACCAACCAATCACAAGAATGACATAGTGATAGGCTGTGTACATGCAGTAGAAGTCTCCAAAGTATAAGTTAGTGTTTGGTTTGAAAAGTTTTTCAGCTATGATCTCAAACCTGTATCTTCCATAAGGTGAATCTTGTGATGACTTTCCAGTGTTAAACTCAGTGTTGCAGCTAAAAAAGATGCCTTCCAACTTCCCACTGATTTGGAAGAGCTACTGTTATCCTTGACAGAGGGCTGCATAACATTCCCATAATGTTCTCTAAAAATGAATGACTACCATTGTTTATTTTGAAATGACATAAAAAACAATAATTATTCAAAATTACTGCTTTGCCTTCTTTGTAAAACTACTGCTTTGCCCTGTCCCCTTTCTTTCCCAAAGGAAAGAAAGATAATCTGTTAACTAGAAAAGTAAGGTTACAGAAACCAAAAGTTAGGAGAAGTAAAAATCAAATAAACCCAAGTTTGGCAAGAATTAAAATATCCACGAACAAACTGCGTGAGAGAAAGAAATGTTCTTCCCACCCTCCTCTTCTGAGTGTGAGCTCTCATAACTGTGGAAGCAAAGAGTAACACAAAAAAAACTAGAGCCCTATCAATTAATGAGCCAGCTTGATCAAGCCATTAAGAAATTTGAATTCAAATTAGGTGTGTTCAGAAAATGTAACATGTATCTGAATAGCATATTGAATAAAGGGCCAACTGGTGGGTCCATAGCTGTTTCTGCCACTCTTGCCATTTGGGACTATTTCTATTACCCTCTCCCATTTCTGCTTTGCTTGTGTGCAGAAGTGAAATTATGACAGTGGATAAGTACAGCTTTTAGCCCAGTAGCCTAGAGACTAAAGTATTTGCCCTGGAAGCAGGGGAACTGGGTTCTAGACACCACCACTGTTGACTTGACACGCACCAGATCAATGCTCAGGATCTCAATATCGCGCTGTTAGGCAGGAGGGCATGACACAAATCATACACAGACACAACTGCACATACAACACTATGGATCCACACACAGACAAACACACACTCAAACACGCAGTTCAGTGGTTGTGCATGTTAACTAGGGGCACTTGGGGTTACAGTGCCCAGGGGTTACTTGGGGTCACTTGAGGCCTGGGCAGAACTGAGGGAAAAAGACAGGGCCAGAGACAGCGTAGTGGGCAATGGAGCCAGGGAAGAAAGCCAGGGCATCATTGAGAAGCGGTGGAGACTAGAGGGTAAGGAGCAGTGGGACAGAAGCCGGGAGGCAGCCAGGAGCTGGAAGGAATGGGAAGAAGTGGCAAAGGTAAGGGGCGGTGAGGTGGAGCAGAGGCTGGGGGAGAAAGCCACATGGCAGAGAGAATTAGGAGGTGGAGAAAGCCAGGGGAGGCAGAGGAGAGGTTGGGGGAGAAAGCTGGGGCAGAGGTGAAGCAGAAGTTGGGAGAGAAAGATGGGGAGCAGCAGAGGTGGGGGAGAAAGCCAGAGAAGTGGCAGAGACGAGGGAAGAAAGCCGGGACGAAAGCTGGAGCAGAGGTGAGGCAGAAGTCGGGGGAGAAATCTGGGTGGCAGCCAAGAGGGAAGGAGACAGTGGAGCAAGTGAAGCAGAGGGCAATGGATGAAGCAAAACCCAGAGGAGATTGGTAAAGCTGCTAGCCAGAAGATAAAGGGGCAGAAGCCGGGAGGCAGAGTGGAGGTGAGGGGTTGTGAAAGCCAGGGTTTTCCCGGAGAGCAAAACTGGGGTTTAAGCCAGGATGGAGGTCAGAGAGATGGGGGTATTGGAGGTTGGAGGCGGCAGAGAGAGAGACGAGATGACTGTGAGAGAGAATGAAGGTCAGAGGTGCAGAGACCAGAGACTGAAGCAGGGTCAGGAGGTCAGTAAGGCAAAAACCTAACTCGGGGTTCCAAAATAAGTTTTATTAAACAGGCAACACGCTATACATCCCCACAAAATTATTGGTTCACACACACACACACACACACACACACACACACACAAACACTCTCTCACAGACACCTACACAATGGTAGCAGGAGAGAAAAGACTTAATGGAGGGATTTGAGGTCCAGGTGTGCAAAGAGAGTTCAGGTTCCTTACTTGGAGGAAGGTGACTGATAGCTACCTATCCAGGCTGTGAGTTGAACCTTGATGGCAAGTCGGAGTCTTCTCCATCAAGGTGTTGTACAGTGTGGGCTGCCAGCAGGGCTTCTGGGTGGATAGGTGGCATGGTGTAGTGCTAGTCCAGATGGGGAGGGCATCCCAAGGAGGTCACACTCTACCACTCCTTTTATAGGGGTGGGTTGCCTATGACGCCAATGGGCAGGACATGCCCAGGCAAAGGTCAGTCCTGTTTAGATGAGGTCATGCAGTTCCAGGTGTCCTCATTGTCTGGTGGAATACAATGGTGGAGTTTCTGGTTTCTATTCTGTTCTTTGTTTCTATGTTGCTGGTTTTTTGGAGGGTCCTTATCTGTCAAATATTGGGTCCTGGGAGTAGGTCTGTGGTTTCAAGGAGAGTCAATGCAAGGCAGTGGTCTGGTCATTGAGCAGGAGCTATTTTTAGCCCTGCTACCATTGTGTGTCAAGCACCCTCATTCATCCTCATTCACCCAGGAACCAATTTACATAGGAGGGGTAGGTATGAGTCATAGTTGCAACACAGTTACAATAGGGAACAATACAGTATGACCGGGCAGGGAACACAAAATGGAGACTTGACATAACAAAAGGGAGGCTTGACATTACTTTGGTTAACTTAAAGGAACAGGCCTAAATCATACAATATCAATATAAAACAGTAAAAATAAATACAAAAATAACAGAGCACTATTTAAAATATAAAAAGGGGCTTGTCACAATAATGGACTACAAGAACTTAGCTTATCTATGACTACCTATGACTACTTATAAGTGATAGAGAGGGCAGAGAGAAAGTCAGATATGGTTGGGGAAGGGGAGAGAATATATTTTTAAATAAAAAAAAAAAGAAAAACTGGGGATTTTGCTACACCACTGCCACTGTCTGTAGATGCATGACAAGGTGCAGTTAGCCTTACTGACTGCTTCCTCGCATTGGTGGTTCGTGTTCATCCTGGAGTCAACAATGACTCCAAGATCTCTTTCTGCCACTGTGTTGACAAGAAGGGTGTTCCCCAGCCTGTAGGTGTGTTGCTGGTTCCTTCTCCCTCAATGCAGTACCCTGCACTTGTCTGTGTTGAATTCCATCCTATTCTCATCCACCCACTTAGTTATCCTGTCTAGATGTAGCTGGATTCTGTCGCTTCCCTCCAGCGTGCCCATCTTGCCCCACACCTTGGTGTCATCAGCGAATTTGGACAGCATGCTTTCTACACCCACATCCAGATCGCTGATAAAGATGTTGAAAAGTACAGGCCCCAGGACCGAACCCTGGGGGACTCCACTGCCCACATCTCTCCAGGTCGAAAATGACCCATCCACCACCACTCTCTGGGAGTGACCATCTAGCCAATTTGCTACCCATCTGGCTGTGTAGGCATGCATGTTTTTTTGATCACCTAGGTTTTTTTAAGAGAATGTGGTGGGAAACAGTGTCAAAGGCCTTCTTAAAGTCCAGGAAGATGACATCCACCTCAGCGCCCTCCCAAAAGCAAACTTTTATCTTAAATAAAAAGTCACTTTTATTCCTGAAGAGGAAATGTAGTACTCAGACTTTCTGCTGTAAAACTGAAATGGGTGACTCACTTAGTACGTTTATTTTCATACCAACTAGAGTCAGGTTATTATATCCATGCTGCACCTCTCTTAATTAGCACCATTGACTCTTCATCTATTTTCTTACCTGATATAATCAAAGTATTCTTTGTGCCGATTCCGATAAAAACCAGAAAGTTTGAGCATACGTCCCGCAATTACTTCACCTTTTTCCAGAAGTTGTGTTAGGTGAACTTTTGAATAATCTGGGAAGAAAAGAATTTGTTAGCCTGGAAAGAAAAACACTATTATCTCCTAGTTTTACAGTCTGAACTTAGTTTAAATAAGATTCCTTTAAATAAGGGAAACAGGCAAGTTGAATTGATTAATATCAACCAGCACGGTTGCAATAGAACCCAGGTGTCTTGCCCCGTCTAGTAAAGCAAGCTGCTTCTCTTCACTATGACATAAGTGCCTGATGAATGAATGGAAAAAAAAGATCACAGTATTACAAAAAAGAAGTTCCAAATCTCTGATCCTTGTCAAAAGCTACTGGAACAGAGTCAAACTCACATCAGTGCAGAGGGATCACAGGAACACTCGCTTAAGTTTTTTAATATGAAGAGGAGGGCTTTCACATGGGCAGGACCTAAGATACAGGGGGAAGCCTATCTTCACAATGCTATTTAAAACTAAATTAAGAACCAAATGTACATTTTTGGAGCACAAAACTAAACATGTTGAGTACAGCTAGTGTTGCCTTGAGGTATTCAAGGTGTTTAAGGTGGGCACAAGGGGATGCCTCAGGCAGGGAAGCTGCTGGAGAACACTACAAAGAAAAGAACTTACTTATACCTTTTCAGGAAGCTGCATATCCTGTTATACAGCTGTCTGAACCTCAGAAGAGGTGCAAGGGCAATTCTACTCCAAATGGTTTTTAAAAACCCACCTTTGGGACTGGGCATTGCTGCCAGGTACACAGGCTGGCCAGCTGACTATTGTCTGCATGATGAGACATGCCTCCCGTTCAGTTTGCCATTAATCGCAAAGTCTCTCAGGAGGCCTAATTCTGTTACACCCCTACAGCACCTAAGTTTCCCTCTGTGCCCAATCCTACTGCACCTGTGAAGGAATCAGACTCCAAACAGGATAAAGAAGGCAGCCAGGGTGTCTGGCAACCTGCAGTCCAATTGTGTTCTACTCTGGGGAGACAGACACAACTTTCCATGTTTGGTCATCTCCCATATATCGATAAGGACACTTACGAACTGTATAATGCACCCTGTCAGGCACTGCTTCAGACTGCTCAAAGGCACTAAGCAGTAATGAACACTATTAGTGATACCTGCACACAGTTAGTGCACTAGTACGGTGTGTGCCAGAAAACCTGAATGGCTGCCTTTACATCTTTTAGCCCAGCAATTCAGTGGTTAGAGCACTTGCCCAGAAAGTAGGAGACCCAAGTTCTAGGCCACTTGGCTAGAGAAGATTTGAATGCACATATCCCACCTCTCATTATAATGTCATTTCCTAGGTTAGTGCTCTAACCAAAGGTGATATTTTATCCAGAATGATAAAATACAGAACACTTTATACAAGAAACCCACAGACCAACATACGTATCTGCACAGAACCAGCAATCACCCTAAACACACCAAAAAAGCTGTGATATACAGCCAAGCCCTCAGATACCACCGCATTTGCACTGAAGAGAACACCCGGGATTGCCACCTCACCAATCTTAAAAAGGCTTTCACCCAACAAAGGACACTCCTCCAGAGAGAGAGATTGCACGTTTGAAAGAGCCACCCAGATACCAAGTGAAGAACTGCTGCAGTACAGAAGAAACCCCCCCGCCACAAATCACACACTGCTGGTTATGACGTATCACCCCTCCCTCGAACCTGTACGGAAAATCCTCAAACAATTGCAACCTGTACTAGAAAGAGACCCTTTTCTTAAAAAGATCTTCCCAGAGCTACCCACCCTAGCATTCAACACCCCCACTATTACTACACCCCACAACAGAGCCATCAGCATTCCTGGATCTTACAGCTGCACCTCCAGAAATGTAATATATCTCATCCAGTGCACCAAATGCCCTGATGGAAAATACGTAGGAGAGACCAAACAACCACTGCGCACCAGAATGAATGCACACCAGAAATCTATCAAAGACAGAAATACACAATTACCTGTGGGGGTACATTTCTCACAAGAAAACCACTCTCTCTCCAATCTCTTAGTCCTGATTCTCAAAGGAAACTTACAAAACTCTTCCCAGAGACGAGCCTATGAACTCCACTTCATCAACCTGCTGGATACTAAAAATCATGGACTAAATATAGACATTGGATTTATGACACATTATAATCTGCCTGACATGTGACTCCCCAGGTATCTCTCCACTGTTTATCCACCTTCTCTCTTCCCCCCACCCCCGCCCCCAGCCTGTCTCTCAACCATTGACTCATCAATCTACATTTTCACTGACTACCTGTCTTGTATGCATACCAGACCAGCCTCTGGCTTCTTTACTTTTCATTCCATCCAGGAAGAGCACACACCAACTGCTGAAACTTCCTTAGCCTGACGAAGGGTTTTTGAACCCAAAAGCTGGCTTAATAATTGTTTTGCAACTATTTAAGTTGGTCTAATAAAATATATCAGATTCACCCAAAGAATCTTGCCTACCTAACCAAAGGTGGGCACCTGTAACTTTAAATCCAATATATCGAATTAAGAGCAAGACCTTATAAAGGGGGATAAGGCTAAATGCCGTGTTTATTGATTACATGAATCAGACATAGAGGTTCAGATACACCACTCATACAGACACACACAAATCATCATACACATCATTATGCATAGACATATGCAAACACAAAACAACTGTTCCATTCAGATATTATAGTTACCGGCAGCAGTTTCTCAATAGAAGCACTGGGTGGCCAGCCCAGGCCTATTCAGAGAAGATGGAGTGGGGTGAACAGACACGTCTGTACTCCGAAGAAAGCAGCAGTCAAGATAGAGTCTCACCCAACCTGGCATTTTCAGAGTCTTTCTTTTACAGGGATTGGCATCCTTTGTTCAGTACTTTGGGGTTTTCCATGGCCAATTTCTGTCGTTACAGTTGTTTCTCATCCATTGACTTTTTATCTCAGCTCAAGGTCAGTTTGTTCATAAAGTTGGTATCTCAGCCTTGAAGTATCCTTGCTGCCCATCTGGCAGGATGTGCTGCATTCCTTCTGGTTTTCTCCTTTGTGCCCTAGGCCTCAAAGGGATTCTTCAGACATCCAGTAATTAGTTTACTGACTGGTAACTTACACATTCAGTGCCTTGTTGCCTACATAAACAGTTAAATCTTCCTTTTCCCATCTCTATACCTTTCTCCCACCATTCACCCTTTCACATACACTCACACACAAAAAAGTTATACAAGGTTCATTCACTTATGTCAAGCAAGCAACTCATGTCAGGCAAGAATACACAAAATGGTGTTTTCAGTAAACATAGGTTACAATAGCAAGGATCACATGGTTACAAATCTACTACTTTATTATTATCACAATCTATGTTAAAATCATTCCTGCCCTGGCACCACTACCACCACCTGGCTACACGCTCTTGTTTCTATGTCTAACAATCCCTAACTGTGGTTCTCTCTATTGCATGCATTACAGGAAACTATGTAGAACAGCTGCCCTATCCCAAGAGGAACAGGAGAGAGTGAAAGTGGCATTAGGCACCTTGGTGGCTGCTTCATATCTCTTCTAAGCTCAGGTGAGCAACTCTGTCAACACAATGGACTGCAGGGAACATTTCAGGCTAAGGCAGAAATGCCTACATGCAACATCAGAAATTTAGGTATGCAAACAGGAGCTATGTTGTTTTATGGGAGTTTATTAGGATGCTGTTTAGTGATTTAAGTGTCTAAAAACTGTCCAGCTGGCACATATATGCAATTTAAAGACTTAACAGGATTTGGGCCTGAGTACTCTTGATGAGGGAGCACTGGCAGGTGCGGTGTGAATTTCTTCTCACCACCTAACAAAGAAGCAGCTCCAGTTTACATACAAATTTCCAACCCTTCCATTTCCAATGTTGACAAGTACTGGAGACAAACATGTATACTAGACTATTTTAGCTGACTGGCTCAAACAGAAGAGAAATCTTTTCATGTAGCACACTTGATCTTTGTTTTATTTATATGTAGTAAAACCCTGTTTTTCTTTTTTTATTACTTAAAAATGCATTACCTCCCCTTCCCCAACCATTTCTGACTTGTTCTCTCCCTCTGTATTCCCTATAGATAAGTATAAGTATGCTAAGATGTAGGATAAGCTTTAACTTTTTATTTTAGGTAGTAAGTTTTATTTTTATCTCCCCATTTTGAAAATAAGTGCCCTGCTATTTTGATATAGATAGCCACTGTTTTATAAGTGATAGGTATTATGTTTGTATTGATATTTTTAATGCTTTTCTATTGTGTGATTACAGTTTTAGGCCTACATATGTAAGTTAAAATAAGTCATGTCAAGTTTCCATCTTGTAATATCAAGCCTTCACCTTGTGTCCCCTAACCTATGACTCATACCTACCCCTCCTATGTCACTTCATTCCTGAATGAATGGGGATGAATATGGGTGCTTGAGAGACAATGGCAGTAGGTCTAAAAATAGCTCCCTCTGAATGACTGAACCATCAACACCAATACCGGGACCAATGACCCAGCCCTTGGAACCACCCTCAGCATTCAAAAAACAAAAGATGAGGCAACCCACCATTGTGCCAAGACTGCACATGCCCAGTAAGAACATCTGGAACCCTCTGGAACAGGACTGACATTGCCTGGACAGGCCCTCCCCATAGGAGATCAGAGGTAGTCTGCCCCATAAAAAGGGGTAGTGAAGACTGACTCCTTGGGACGCCCACTCCATCTGGACCAGCACCATGCCACACCACCTATCCACCCAGAGGCCCTGCCAGCAACTCCCCTCTGCACAACACCTACTGGACAAAGACCCCTTTCCTACTGGACAAAGACCCCTTTCCAGTCTGGATAGTTAGCTATCACCCCCACCCCATTTTCAACCAAGGACTTGGACTCTGCTTCTCTTCCCTACCTGGACCCTTCCACTGAGTCTCTTTCTCTTGCTGCCATTGTGAGTGCTTGTGTGCATGTGAGTGTGTGAGCCAATAACTTCATGGAGCTGTGTAGTGTGCTGTCTGTTTAATAAAACTGTTATTTGGACCCCTGAGTTGGGTTTGCTTTACTACAGTCCGGCCCTGCTCCAATCTCTGCTCCTCACCCCTCTAACTTCTGTCTCATTTCTCCCTCTCCTGCTTCTGGGCTCACCGCCACCTCAAACACCTGTCCTGAGCTCCTCTCTGCCTGCAAATCCCCTGTTTCTGTGCCACTGTCTTATCCCCACTGCCTTTTCCCCTGAGCTCCCAGGTTTCTGCCTCAGTTTCTTTCCTGGCTGTCTCCTCCTTGCCACCACTTATCTGCCCCCACCCCCCAATATCTCAGCTGTCTTCCTCAGTTTCCATCCCCAAGCTCCCAGGTTTCTGTCTCTCTCTCTTTCTTGGCTGTCTCCTCCTTGCCACCAGGCTTTTTTCCCTTGCACCGGTGACCTTGAGTAACTTTGGGGCCACTTGATCTTAAGTAAACCCAAGCCTTAGTTCCTTAGCCAGCTTCTCTCTAGTCTACCGGTTCTAATTGCAGTTCTGGCAACTTTCACTCCCTACACTTTAACTCTCTCTTTCTCACCTTAACCTTCCCCCAGGTACCCTAAACACACACATGCATACCATACCATCCAAGTTAGGAACTTACTTGTGTGTATGTGTAGGTGGGTTGTATGTGTGTGAACTGGTGAGTGAGTGAGTGAGTGTGTGTGTGTGTGTGTCATTGTGTGCATGATATACAAATTAGTGACCTCTATATGTACTGAGTGTGCGGGTAAGAACAATTGATTTCTGTCTGACTTTTGGGGTGTATAGTGTATGTGCTTGAATTGGTGATAGATATGCATGTGCCTAGGCTGGTTTGGATGTGTATGTGCCTGAGCTGGTAGTGTGTTTGTGGGTATGAACCAAATTGATTTGTGTGTTTGTATATGTGCAATTGTATCACACCCTCCTGTCTAACAGTGCAATATTGAGATCCTGAGAGTTGGCCTGACCTCACAGGGCAGCATATATTACTCTATGATGTATATTTTTCCAAACTCACCTGCTGTACAAAACTGTGATTTCACTCCACTCAGAAACAACATAGTTCCCATCAACTTGTTTTGCAGGCTCTAATGCTACTGCATATTCTGTTCTTGGGCTCAAGAATCAGTGTCCACAGACAGTCATTGGTAGGGGAACACATTTTGCCACCAGTTTAATGGGTACATCCTGATGGGATTAAAAAACAAAAAATCAGATCAGTCAGCTAGCAAAAAATAGATTCAGAACATCATGTAAGTTAAGGTAATTTTGAAAGTAAGTTTCTATAACCCTTTTTATTCCTCTTATATGTAAATCCTATTTAAATAGGGTGCATTTTTCACCAGTGTCCCAATTAAGTTAACATTGATGGAATAAAATGATAGTATTAAGTACATCACAGAATATACGGAGAGGATGAATTTGAGGGCAGGTGGGCAGGATATACTCTGATCACAGTAAATGATACTGATAAGAAAATGCTAAGGCTGTTAAAAAGTATGAAAGTTAAACAGGTCTGGGACTCTTCTCAAAATCTTAATATAATTCCAATGACTTCAATGGAATTCCTTCTGGTCTACATCAATGCAAGGGGGTAGCCAATAATTAATTTCAAGACAAATTAAGATAGAGAATCTTAACTAGTTCAAAAAATGATTCTGCATGTGTTAAAATAATCACAACCACTTTTCGTAAAAATAGCCCATCTATGATGAGCTGACTTTGGACTTTATGTCTATCAAAGAGTTCTTCTGTGTTTTATTATTCCCATTCGCTTACATTGTTTTATTTTGTTTTTCTGTGTCAGTGCTTCAGACAACATCATGCTGACGAGAAAGATACAGGTTCTCTCTCACAGCTAGGGAAGTTGCTCACAAGATGCTGAAATGCTTGATCTCCACAACATCAAGGACAACAATCTAGCTCTCAGGAGGCAGATGACATGCAATATTTTCTTGCCTGTGCAGTGCAGGAAACAGAGCTAATTTTTGCAACCTACAAAATTCTGGAGAAAATAGTAATCCCCTTAGAAAAGGCTTTATATGAAAATCCTATTCTTGAGAACTAGATGTTCAAAAGTATTAAGAAGCAGGTTTTCAGTAAAACTAAATGGCCAGTATAAGATTACAATCATATTAATCCATCTCAAACTGTGTGATACTGGAATAAAACTCTATTTGGGAATAGCCAAGTAATGTTAGAATGTGTTATTGTAGACTGCAGAACTGCATTCTAAGCCATGGCAGTAATTGTAGCAACTGCAACATGTAATTACTTCGCACCACTATTTGATGATGATGGGTCTCCTTTTGCCTCTTACCTAAAATATATGCTTGTTGTTTGGAAGCATACATAAAGAGCATTTGAAGTTGTATGAGACAATTCTGTCATTTTTCCTTCTAGATAACTTAAATTTTCTGACTGGTATATTCCAGAGTTTGGCAACTTTTGGCCACTGGGGGCCATTGCTTGCAAACCAGGCCCCACCACAGGCTGCAAATTTCTACATGTACTTATGCCATGGGCCATATCTAATTTCTATAGGATGGCTCTGGCCTGTGGATTGTAGGTGGTTGACCCCTAGTGTATTCAACTGCTGTCCAAGGCTCCATATTGACCTCTACTTTTCTAATATTTTGATTATGGCCCTTAAACTTTCTAAGTAATCAACAGTATGGCATGGGTAGGGAGAAGGGTGTTGAGTTAGGGCTGTGTAGATACAGCCCTCATTCACCCTCCATCCACTGGATGCCTGCTACTTATCCCAGACACCCATCACTGCCTCTTGTCCCTGGTCCCACTGTAGCTGCTGCTGGCCATGCAGATCCAGGCTGGGAGGTGTCCCATTGTCTGTATCTGACCTTTGGCATGGGTTACTTTGACACCCCTGACAAGCACTAGGAAACTAATCTACAGTTTAAAACAAGGGTGGGCAATTATTTTGGCTAGAGGGCTTAATGACTTTTGGTGAGCTGTCGAGGGCCACAGTGGTACCCTGCCCCCTGGTGCCCCCTGGCTGCCATATTGGGACTGGAAGTCCTGCCCCTAACCCCTGACCTTTGCCACTGGAAGTCCTTCCCTTGGCCCCAGAAATATTCCTTTTGGGAGGGGTCTGCCATCTTGGAACTGGAAAAAAACAAATCATACACTAAAAATCAAACATCTACTATAATATTTAAATTTTATTTCAAAAAATATTTTGACCTGATATATGTGTGTTTGTGTAGTGTATATAGAGGTGACTGCATAATAACTCAAAATCAAGACTTACTCTTGTATATTGTGTGTGGGGAGCTGTGGGTGTGGGGTTTGTGGAAGGATGTGGAGGGGTATATGTGGGTTGGTGGGTGGGTGTGAGGGGTGTGCATGTGTGGAGGGTATGGGGTTTGTGGAGGGATAGGGTTTGTGAGGGGATGTGGGGGAGATGGCCCCCAGATGCTTAACAGCAGGCAGGGACCCCCCCCCGCAGTGCATGGCTCTGGTGCATGGTTCCAGAGCATAGTTCTAGAGCTGCATGTGGTGATATGGAGCTAGCCTGGCCTGGTCCCAGATGGAGTGCCAGGAGCCACACTTGGCAGCACAGAGCCCGCCCAGCCTGGCCCAGTGGCATGGGACCTCTGAAAAGCCACACCTCCCACTGGCTTTCAGAGGGGCAGCCACAGGCCAGTAATAATTGTCTTCTGGAGGGGCCCCACAGGCTGAATAGAATGACCTGGTGGGCCAGGTCCAGCCTGGCAGCTATATGTTGCCTGTCAATAGTTTAAAGCCTCCATTGTTGGGAAAATGTCCTTTTTGCAGTTTCATCTTTAATTTCTCAGAAAAACACTTTTTGTTTCACTCTAAGAAAATCATCTCCTTACCAGACATACACAGCAGATGTGCATATATGCCTCCCTCACATAGCTGTCATTTTAAAATTCAGGTCTAGGGTAGTCTTTCAAATGGACTACACCCATACACTTACTCCCATGATCATGATCTTATTTAGCACATTCATGTCTTTCTTTTCAGTCATTTATTTCCTCTCTTTACTTCTTATTACTGTTCAGATCCCTTCTGATTTGGTAGTATATTTTCCAAAATTCCAATTCAGAAATATACACAATATTCATGTGCAGCTACAGATAAAGGATTTTACCCTGCTTCGTCTATGACATGATATTTGCACTGCAAGCTCATATCTAATTTTCTATCTACTATATCCCTTTGGTCTTCATGGGAATTTCTAGTTTCCCACTATCTCCATCCTATTCAATATCTATGTTTATTTTCCCTTACATAGCTGGCATATTTCCAGTTTGATTCTCATTTTTGCATTACTTGTCCATTTTCATATATGTCAGTTCCTTCAAATATTTCTGTCTCTTGGGTACTATGCATGACCCAATCTACTATCATCTCCAGAATTAAAAACTGCACTTTCAGTTCTTCTTTTGTAATCCTTATCAAAGATGCTAAAATGGAATCCCATGCTGTATTCTGAAGCATCTCACTGGTTCATTTCACAATATGAGGCACTGGCTTGTGTCCTTATCCTTAATCCTTTGTTCACTGCCCTTCAGCTAGTTTTCAATCCACTGTGACAAGACTATTGTCCAACTAGAATTGATTTTTCAAATAAATTTAATGAGTCTATCAGATGCTTAACAAAAGTTTGGTCATATTACATATGAATACTCCAAATAGTGACCTAATATCCTATTTAACCATATGGAACAATAGCTCTTTTTTTTGTTTTGCCTTTAGTATATCAACCTAGGAATTTTGTTTTCAGTATCTTTAGTCAGATTACTTATAAATAGTGGGTGAAATACAATCTGCTACAAAGGACTGGCACGAGGCCTATATGCTTGTTAACCAGAATCAGCCAGCACCTACCCATTTAACTGGTGCACAGGCAATATGGTTAGCAGAGGTCTGACAACTTGTGCAAAAGATACCACACTTGTAATTTGCCATTGAAGGATTCCTTTTGTCACCTGCTCTTTAGACAGCTTTTTTTATCCAGCACCTGATTTTCTCTTGAATGCTGCTTAGTTGTCCATTCTTCTCATACTGGCAGTAAGAAATGAATTACTATATTTTCTCTCCTACAATATGTACCCAAATATAATACACACTTGTTTTAGGAAGGAGGAATAGAGGGGAAAAAGCCTTTTCCTTGAAAATACAAAGTAATTTAATATAACAAATTATAAAAAGTGGTAATCTTTACAAAGAATAAGTTATAAAATGCAAAAAAACACACATAAGCTTTGTGCATACCTCATCCCTAATTGCAATATTGTGGCATGTAGCCAGCAATGCAAAGGGTTGGGAGAGCCTATCACTGCTCCATTAGCATCCTAGCAGCTGCTGGTGTTTGACTGCTAGCTACACACCACAATATTGCAATAAGGAATGTGAGGCATTTGTAAAGCCCCTATGTGGTGACCTGGGCAGAGTGAGAGGGAGAAGGGAAGGGGTGGAATACATATTATGTGACTGCTGGAGGAAGAGCCTGTGGCAGCCTGGCCAAGGACAGACAGCCTGCTCTCTGACCCAGCCTGCTGTGAGCTAGCTACAACTCCAGCTGGGGACAGACAGAGTCTTGTGTTGTAGGATCCCCCTGGGGGTGCCTAGGGCTAGTCACCACTCTCCGTCTTGGCTGGCAGCTAAATGGCATTGCTGTATTTCATCACAAATAACGTGCAACTAGATTTCTAGCAACTTGGTGTTTTTGGAAAAAAGGTGTGGGTTATATGCAAGAAAATACGGTACAAAAGGGATACAAGCATGTTCATGCTGCTGCAGCACAGGAAAGAACAAAGGCCTACGTCCTTCCATGAAACTAGTGACCGTGTATTCCAGACCCCCCACTGCTTTCTACAAAAGTCTGAGTAATGTATTTAATAGGTAATGGTCCAGTGATTCTTGACCTTTCTAATCAGAAGCTGAAGAAATCATTTATCTTTGTGCTGTTCACACATTGAATATAAGGCTTTAGTTCTGAAAAATCCAGAATAAACATGAAATGCCAGCTTCATTGAGATCAATTGGAGAACCAAAAGATTAATGCTTTATGCTTCTATTCACAGGCTTATCTCTCTCTGCCATATCCAGAGTTAAATTTCAAGTTAAATTGTCTAATCAATTTTAAAGCAGCCATGATAGTGACTATTGCAGCTGAAACGAAATGCTGGCAACTAAAAAACAAATAGATTTTTATTTATAACACAGTCACACATAATTACATGTACACACACACACACACAAACACACACACACACACACGCGCGTACGCGCGCGCACACACACACACACACACACACACTTAATTCAGTATCCTCCCAGTTACATAAATGTTATCTATCAGTTACATAAATTAGCTGAGTGAAAAATAAAGGAAATGGAGACGTTGGCTCTTCCTCTACTCTCCATCTCCATCTCTGTCTTATCTCCCTCTTGGTCTCTGTCTTTGTCTCCATCTACACCTCCTTCTCTATCTCTGGCTAAATACTGTCCATGTCCCTGTCTTCATCTCATCTCCATCTTCATATCCATCTCATCCCCATCTCAGTCTCTATCTTCATCTCCTACTCGGTGTCCGTCTTCATGTCTGTCTCATCTCAGTCTCCATTTCCATTTCTGTTTCCATCTCATCTCCAGCTCTGTCTCCATCATGTCTCTGTCTCTGTCTTCATCTCCATCTCCTTCTCAACTCCATCTCAGTCTCCATCTTGTCTCCGTCTCCATTTTGTCTTAGTCTATGTCTCTGTCTCTGTCTCCATCTCTTTCTTATCTCTGTCTCCCTCTCCATCTTCATTCCCATCTTGTCTCCATCTCCGTCTCAGTCTCGTCTCCTTCTCCATCTACTGCTCCATCTCTGTCTCCATCTCAACTCCTTCTTCATCATCTGTCTCCATCTCAGACTCCATCTTCACCTCTTCCCTGCCTCTGTCTCATCTCCCTCTCTGTACCCAACTCAGTCTCTGTCTCTGACTCATTCTTTGCCTCCATTTAATTTCTGTCTCCATCTCATCTCTGGTTCCATCTGTCTCTCCATCTGCATCTCCATCTCCATCGCATCTTTGTCTCCTCCTCCATCTCCATCTCTCTATCTCCATCTCTGTCTCCATCACAATCCCATCTCCATGTCTACCTCAGTCTCCATCTTCTCTTCAGCCCCATCTCTATCTCATCTCTGTCTCCATCTCCATCTTCATCTCTTTCTCGTCTCTGTCTCCATGCCTGTCACCATCTCATCTCTATTTCCATTTTCCATCTCTGTCTCATCTCCATCTCCTTCTCTGTGTTGTCTCTATCTCTGTCTCTTTCTCTGTCTCCATCTTCATCTCCATCTTCATCCCCATCTCATCTTGATCTCTGTCTCCAACTCCATCTTGTCTCCATCTTGATTTCCATCTCAGTCTCCATTTCTGATTCGGTGAAGGTTTCCATGTCCATCTCATCTCCAGTCTCAGTCTTGGTCTCTGCCTCATCTCCAGCTCCACCTCCGTCTCCGTCTCCATCTCATCTCCATCTCAGTCTCAGTCTCAGTCTTGGTCTCTGCCTCATCTCCAGCTCCACCTCCGTCTCCGTCTCCATCTCATCTCCATCTCAGACTCAAGTCTCCATCTTCACCTCTTCTCCATCTCTGTCTTATCTCTGTCTCTGTCTCCAACTCGGTCCTTGTCTCTGACTCATTCTTAGTCTCTCTGTCATGTCTGTCTCCATCTCGTCTCTGGTTCCATCTCCCTCTCCTTCTCCATGTCCATCTCCATCTCTGTCTCTGTCTCCTACTTGGTCTTTTTTATAGATTTCATAGATTTTAGTGTTGAAAGGGACCTGTTAGATCATTGAGTCCAACCCCCTGACCTGGGCAGTGACCCCCTGCCCTGGGCAGGAAAGACTGCTGGGGTCAGATGACCCCAGCCAGGTGTTTGTCAAATCTCCTCTTAAATATCTCCTTCAGTTTGTAGCCATTGTTTCCAGTTACCCTGATGGATGCCCTGGTAAACATTGTATCCCCTATTTCCTGCTGTCCCCGCCCCCCCCGATTAATTTGTAGATGGCCGCAAGATCACTTCTCAGCCTTCTCCTGCAGAGGCTGAATAGGTTCATGTCCCTCAATCAGTCCTCATAGGACTTTTTCTGTAGACCTCTAACCAGATGGGTGGCTCTCCTCTGAACCCTTTCCAGGTTATCTACATCCCTCCTGAAGTGCAGTGCCCAAAACTGGACACAGTACTCCAGCTGTGGCCTGACCAATGCCACATAGAGGGGAAGTATCACCTCCCTAGATCCATTTGTGATGCAGCTACTTATGCAAG